GAGGAGAGAGGAGTTGTTTCATTGTTTCGTCATTACCATTTATTTTTAATATTTTTTTCGTGTCCTCTTTGTTCACTCACATACAGCTATTTGCTTTTTATTTCGTTTTTCGTTTCGTTTTTCGTTTCATCGCAGTCGTCTCATGGCTGATAATTCCAAATTTACGACTTACATGGCAAATATCAAATCTCTGAATGGGGAAAAGCAAGGACAGTACTCTCACTAAAATAGAATGTTATTGTGAATATTTTTGGGTACTCCTGTAGTATGCGAACCAAGATGACGGACACTGGAACGTAGTATGTGTGCCAGGTTAGGGTTTGGCCATAATTATGGGTTCAAATACTACGTGGGTCACTTGGCTAGTCCCCGAACGCGTAATAGAACTAAAATGAGAAAAATTAGAATCAAATTATGGCCTAACCCTAACCTGGTACACAAACTACGTTTTGGTGTCCGCCATCTTGGTTTGCATATTACAGGAGTACCTAGTTTTGTGCATATATATATAATAAAAATTCAATAATTTGTTGGGAAATTTAGTCAGGTACGTATGAACAAATAGGCAACTATAGGCAGTGTAAAGTGTCCAAGTAATTTTACGTCAATCTGCTCTGTCCTCTGGTCTTATTATATAACGCAATTTTTCATCTACACGAAAACGTTTATTTTGACATTGAATTTTATCGATTGGCACACCAGCAAGAAACTGTATTCTGCGCAACGTGAAAATTTTTCGGAAAGTTCAGTCAATTTGTGACAACCCGAATTTGACAGAAATCTACTTGAAATCTATCTGGAGACAGTCAGTAAATTGACCGCAGAGTTAGAGGGACTGAGAGCATAGGTCAGGGATGGCGAACCTTTTTCAATAGATGGGTCAAAAATGATATTTTTATCGCGGAAAAAGAAAAAAGTGGGTCACAGATATTTAAGCAATGTTTGTATCTATAAGAAACTTCTGAAACATATCGTATATGCTTCAGCTGGTGTAGTATTGGGCTTTACGTATGCTGCACTTCCATTCGTGACTATTTATGGCACTCGATTTTATAAAATTACGAAAACACGCATAGGAATGAGGCGGCAAATAATTTTACGGTTCTAAAGACTTTGGACGGAATTCCACTCTGATAGTGTTATATATTTCGATCAGCTTTCAACCACAATAATTAGGACCTTTCACATTACCCCATTGTTATTTCAGATTCTACGTTTGTATTTCAAGTCTGAAAGATTTCGTTTTCTCAACGGCATTGTAGGCGAGAAACTAATAAAATGCAAAGTAGCATATAATTGTCGAATAACCCCTGAAACAGTTTGCAGATTCACTTCCGAAAGAGACAAGATGTTGCGAGAAAGGGACAGATCAATTGTATTGTTATGTCATAAACGATGTCAGAAGCAGGATATCTGTACACAGCGGTGCAGATATGCGTCCAAGGGGTTTGAAAATTACCATACCAGCCGGGAAAGTATCTGACAATTTGATTATGAGCGATCGCAGATTTGAGTTTAGTCGTTGTTAGATTAATTTGAGATTAAGTTATTTTTATCACAGATATGTTAGTTTTTTTTTTTATTTCATTCGTGGCGGCTCACGAATAATACGCGGTGGGTCACTTTGTGACCCGCGGATCATTGGTTCGCCATTTCTGGTATAGGTTCATGTTGAGATCTCAATCTAAATCGAAATATCTATCACTCGTTGTGATTTCAGACTGCCAGTTCTGATATAACTATGAATACGTATTCAAATTGTGCAGATTCCTCACAATGTAGGCGCGTTCCTCAGTACGGGGTCCCGTTGGTTCGACTTCGTCAGAATTTATTTTTTGATTTGGTATAGTTTATATATTTTAGGTAAAAATTCCTTTCAGGAATATAGAACCAAATTTTGTGTTCAAGATTTGTATGATGTAGTATAAAACTGTGCATCCGCCTATCCCTATAGGATTCTAACATAAAGATTAAATCTCCGTTTCCTTTTAAAATACTAATAATTGGCAGCGATTGATGTAAGCAAATTTAGCATGTTTGATCGGAATTATACATTACCATGAAGGTGAAAATAAATTTTGAATTCAATCCAATAATAGTTTTACTAATATTTCCGTTTTGAAGTTTTGATGCTGTTTGATTTTGGAAGACTTAGACGAGAGAAGGCATTGTTACAAATGGGCTAGCGCCGCTTGATGTGAACTCCTAGTCCCCGTTGGAAGATTTTAATTGAAAAGAATGCGAAAGACTAGCATATATTATCCAATCCATTAAAAAGATCACAAATCAGCGCTTCATGCAGTAATTCTGTAACTTAATAACAAACGATGTAAATGTATGTTTTCGAAATGTTTTCGAAAACGCTTGAGGTATTGAGGGTCTTTGTGTACGTAGGTAAACATTATGTCAAATAATTATTTACCCTCTTAAAATCAGCCTCTTAAATTGTCCAGCTAAAAGCTTTATTATCTGTATCGTTTTGTACACCTCAATATGGGAGAACTAATTTAACGGACTGGTAGTTACTCCTGAGTAATAAATACCGATGCAATATATTCATATATAAACACAGATTAAATTGTCCTGGTACTTGGTATTCTGTTGTTCTATGTACGATTCAGTATTATTTTTTCTTCTGATAAAATCTTAATATTTAGCAAAATGGATACAAAAGGTACCTGATAATTTTTAAACCTAGCCGATAGTTTGGCTCATGTTAAGTTTTATTTTATTTCTAAAATGCGTTTTTCTTTTGAATATTTTTTTCGACAGTTTAATTTTGGAAAATATTTCAGAAGAGTTGATGATAGAATTGACATTTGTTTTGGTTTTGTTAAGTAAATTTGAGAGTCACGTCTGTCAAACTTGACTTTGTTTACGGAAGTTCCCTTTGAGTTCAATTAACAATAGAATGCTTCCTTTTGTTCAAAAAGATTACTCAATATAGTAAAATAAACTCAAATTTATACGTAAATGATAAACAGAACTGGATGTGTCATTGAAACTCAGTAAAGTAATTTTTATAACCGTTTCTACCTCAATGAATTAGACTAGAAAATATACAAAACGATTCATAATTTTGATGCAAAGTTTAAGATTAGGTCAAAATCAGTACAATGGGTTACAATGGCAGCATCAGTTGCCAGCAAATCGTCCGTACGTCGTGCTTCACGCAAGAGCACAACATCTTATAAGTAAGTTAAGGCAAAGGTTTGGGAAAGGGGGGAGCAAAGCTATAAAACGGCTCTTTTTAGAGCCACCCGAATGATATATCAATGTTTTGAAAGCTATGTCTTTTAGTTATGCAAAAACGTCTTTAATATAAAATCAAAATCTGACAATTTTGATTGGTGGATTGTTTTTGCCAGTTGGTGCTCGCCAGTAAATCGCATGGAAAGATGTATAGCTGAAATGGAGCAATGATCATAAACCGAATATTTCGTTTTTTTCTTTTTGATTGAACATTTTCATGCTTTCCGTTTTTAATACTGAAAACTATTTATAATTTATGTCTTGAATGGTTGATCATGTTAAATTGGTCTATTAAACATTTGATAAATGGGTTAAAACAAAAACGAACAAAAGAAATTTAATAGTTTTCAGGAGGTTTTCACTAATAATACATTGAGACAAAGCCAATTGATTTTGTTTGCTTTTTAGAGATCATGAACGCAAATTAAAATATTTCACATGGTCCGCCGGGGGATTTTACCTTTAGAGATTTAAGAGCTGTAACCGGTGTAAAAGATTCTATACAGTGCAACTAGCCGTGGGCGCAATATCTCGCCATTCAATCTGCTTTGAAGTTATGGCATAATTTGAGAACAGCTTCACAAAATGTATACTGTCAATGCGGGAATTAATGAATTGCTCATCACGTTGTAGCGTTGTGGTTATGAATACAGAATCAAGTTATCATCTCACAAGAATTCGGTTTATTATGCATCGATCTGTATATGAAGTGCGTTTAACATAAAATGTACTGAAAGTTCATTTCTAGAGTTCATGAGACATAATGAGGTAATGAGTTTTTGTTATCTGATTTTCGTGCACTTAGAGCGTACTTGCGGTTGTGTAATTCCACGAATACTCGATGTAAAATTTAGTTTTGTATATTGCATGATAAACAGGGTTGTGTGGGAATTTTCATTTTATATAATATTACCTTATACCACAAATTTGTAATTGAATAAATCAGAATGATCTACTGCAGATAAACGGCATAAAAAAATGACATTCGCATTTACTAATTTAGAATTGATAAAAATTTAAAAAATAAGATGTTTTTGCTGTTTTTCGCAGTTATTTGCGACATGTAATACCACGGACACAAATTTGAGAATATTGCAATTCTAACAATTGTATAATTAACAAAGTTGTTCATAGAAAACAAAAAAAAACTTGTATTTTTTTTGTGTGTGTATTACAAAACCTTCCCTAGCTGCAAAACATTTCGACATGAGACGACCATCAGTTAATGCCATTATGGTACCAAGATGGCGGAAACCGGAATCTATTATGTTTACTAAGTTAGGGTTAGGCCATAATTTTAGTCACTTGAATTTCTGAATTCGTAATAGAACTAAAATAAGGAAAATAAGAATAAAATTATGGCCTAACCCCAAACTGGTACACATACTACGTTCCGGTGTCCGCCATCTTGGTGCACATACGACGGGGCGCCAATTTTTCATCTACCCCAAAAGATATGTATGTTTTTGTAAACAAAATGTCTTAAACTCAATTCCTTGAACATTGAAAGTATACATTTTGTGAAGCTGTTCTAAAATTATTCCATACCCTCAAAGCAGGTGGAAATGGATAGATATTGCACCCACGGCTAGTGGCACTGAATATATTCTTTTACGCTGCATCAAATTTTTTTTAATATTTTGCGACAAAATTATGCGTTCTTCAACCAACTAATCTTTTTCTATTATAACGCCACATGCAAGATTACGTTATTGATTTTCTGATCAATCATCTGACATGACCAAGACTAGACTCATTAGTACATTTATTGTGATCCACATATATTTCAAATCATCTATGTACATAAATGATTATCCGTACATAAAGGAATATTCATAGAAGTTGTCTATTTCTTCGACAAATTCATCTTCCTGGTGAGCCATAACCGCCCCAATTTTGATGAACCTTGTGCGCATTCCTGCAGTCGCATCCACACGGTGTCTGAAAATAAGTTAATATTTGGTCACTTCGGTATTATTATTAAAATAGAATACTCAAGACAAGCTGACAATGGACAAGTATAGTTACACCTCGGATTAAAATACAATGAAAGCAAATGATTCGAACTTTAATTAACACTCTGAATAATTATATTGCCACGCTTCAATTTTTTAGCTTGTTAGAAATTAAATCACCGATATATTTGAAAATAAACGTGTTGATATGTTGACATAACATCATGTAAACAATCGTGGGTTTTGACTTGGAAACGCGAGAGATTCATTATATTCAATAATCTAGATCAGGGCTACTTCACTATTTTCAAAAAAGGTCCGTACACAAAATTTAAAAATTACCGGAATCTGGTCATTCTAAAAAATATATTTTAACTATGGTTATAAATTTTCAATATGATATTCAATGATCAATATCGCGCATCGGTGCCGTTATGACAAGGCTTCAGGCGTGTAGCTGAGCACCAACTTTTCTGGAAAGTTGTGAATTATTCGCCGCCATAGCACTCGGCGATATTATCTCTAAGACTGAAAAATTGGAATATATTAGTTGTTGACAAAGACGATTTTTTCAACCAATAATAAAAAAAAAAAGCATCGTCCACAAGAAATTGAGCAAAACGATTCATTAGTCGACTTCGTGTCCAATAGCAAAGGTATTTTTCAATCGTTAGTCTGAGAAATTACTTTTTTTCTTCGTTTTAGACAAATATTTCAATCTTGGTCGTAGGAAGTGAGAGTATATTATTTTGCAAAATCGAGTTATTTGATCAACTTTTAAATTTCAAAAATATAACTAAAAACTGACAAATAGCATGCAAAACCACAAACACAACCTAATGTTTGCTACGTAATACCCTAATATGCGAAAAATGTATCCAAACGGCAACTAGAATTTTAGTTTTTACGCCACCATTGACATCTTGCTAATGAGCGAATACTAGGACAATAAACAAGTGAGTCGACGCTCTGAATAACAAATATTGCCATGGAAATTTTTATCCTCAGGGTTTGGCGAAAAATGCATTACATCACGATTGTGAAATACAAAAGAAAAGTTACAGTCAAATTTACAGTTGAAATTGAATACCCAAAAAGTCCGGATTCGGACCGCGGTCCACTAGTTAAGTAGGCCTGAACTAGATCACGTGGATATTGGGGGAGATCCGATATTCTCAAAACATAGCGCTTTTGTAAACTGGATTATGCAAAATTGAACTAATCAGTTACGGTAATAACTTACCTTTATAGCAACATTTCCTTTGTATAAGTTTCCTTGTTCCTCGTAGATTGTGTGTATGTCACGGAAGCACCAAATAGTGAAACATTCACAAGAGTTCTCTTCACCATCTTCATCTTTCTCTGGCTCGGGATACAGATGTGGTTCTTCATCTTTCGTGTGTTCCGGGTATAAATGGGGTTTCCCATTGTTTGAATGTTCCGGGTACAACTCTTTGTCACCATGGGGTTTTACCAACTTACAGCTTGCATACATTTTTCTTAAAAATTGATTTTTTGGAACTTCAAGTTAATACAATTATATCTTATAATATGAAAATTCATACGTGGCGCAAAAAAATAATTATAATTTATTTTAAGATGAAAAATACAATTACAACAAACTGGGAATTTTCTTAAATTATATTCACCGAAAACATTACTTTTTAAATATGTATATCCAAGATTATACCAATTGGTTGTCCTGGCGTTAGCTTTTCAGTTCTTTTTATCAAATATATTTTGTTAAAAACAATTTTTATTTTGAGAACTTTGTTATTTAAAGCGGCACATGCTCGTAATGTGTTGAATCAAACATAACCAAGCAACTTACTTGCATTCAACAGCAAAATGAGGAAAAGGTTTGAATAATCGAACCATTTTTCTGCATTTTGTTGAACCGTAGAGAGATTTCTGAATACATTTCCTTTCTTTGCAATCAGAAACCAAGTCACCGCTGTAGCCGATGCCTTTTGGGGCAGGACATGAATCTTTCGGTTTGGGGAATTTTCTGTGCATGAAATCATTCCATTATCGCTTGGGAAAAAATCGTCATATTTATTTCTTAGTATAACAGATTCACTAAATAAAATTGTTATTTTCATTGACAGAATGTAATTTTACAATAAACATATGATATGTTCAATACACAAAAATATATCTGATCTATACTTTTCTTTCAACATGAAATTTTTTTATTTGAATCGCTGATTAAAATTAATGAGCAAAAATAAGTAAAACGTCTGCGGTTCAGTGAAAAAATGCAATATTTTCAAATTAAAAGCAAATTACTTGAAATATCCGCATTCTGGAGTGTTTTTGAGATCAAGTCCTTTTTCTTTCGGAAAAGTAAAATTTTTTGCAGAGTAGACAGTGATCTAGAAATGGCATTTCAATATGAAATAGATCAATGGAAGTTTTTAGAGCTATTCTTTTGAAAGTGAAATATGAATAATTATTTTAATGAATTCTGTATTTTGGTCTGACGCAATGTAGAACGAGGATACATATGTACGAAACTTATACGTCATACTAACATACTTCAGGATCGAATGTCGCATGGAATTTTCCAAGATCAACCTCTTTCCTCTTTCTGTTTCCACAGACTCCAACAATCAGGAGAACTATACTTACTATCATCATTGTTTAATTTTTTTTTTTACACAAAACTTCTGAAACATAAATATAATATTACATAACAAAGTCCTTTAAATTTTAAACCTAGACATTATGAACCAAATGCGTGGAAACCTAATGTTAGAACGAAATACAAAATAAACTTGATATCTACTTCAAATTTCGATAGCACAATAATATATTTCAACTTCTTCTGGTAAACTCGAACTCAATCCAACTAAACGACTGTCGTTTATTATCATAAAACCCATTACGTTGATCCAATATCAGTGATCCAGACAGACGAAGGAAATATTTGATATAGACGAAAAATACCGCATATATTCATGGGCCAATCAGAGGCTGTGTCACTTTCTCATATTTAGATGAAGATAGAAAATAGGTTGATTTTTTGCTGAACATTTAATTGCGTATTTCGGGAACATCAGATTTTATTATTGTTTCTTAATCGTATAAACACATTCAGTATTGGAAATATTTAAAGTAGTGGTTGTGGTATAATAAACGGAGTCCTCGCGAAAATGGTACATTTGTTTATTCAGAATCTACATTCATAGACAAAAAGGATAAACAGTAAATTTAGATAATTTAGTTTTTTCTTCCGCATGTTGACTATATACTATGAGATATGCTGGATTTAATTTCCTAATATTTTATCAGAATGTCATACATATCTTATATGTTTATAGCGTATACACACCCTTAAAATTGCTAAATTTTTTCATCAGTTCCACCAAGAATATAACACACAACGAGGGGTACTATGTAGGGTACTACTAACGTAGAATGTGTACCAGTTAGGGTTAGGCCATAATTTTATTCAAATTTTACTTATTTTAGTTCTATTACAAGTTCGGGGACTAGCCAAGTTACTCCTGTAGTATTTGTACCTGAAATTATTGCCTAACCCTAACTTGGTACACATCATACTACGTTCCGGTGTCCGCCATCTTGGTTCACATATACTATACGGCAGTACCCAATGAGGAAATGTGACAACATAATTCCATTCCTTTCCTTATCCACAAAACCACCTTCTCGTATGTTAAACAAATTCTAATGCCTTAGTCTGAGGCAACCATTTGCTTTAAATTTGTGCGCAGTCGCAACCATAGTACAGTAAGTTGCATATTATTCCAAATACTACGCAGCTTATTCCTTTTGTTGGATACGGACTAAAATTTCTTAATCCTAAGTCGAATAATTGGGGTCGCAAATATTATACTAAAGAAACCAGCTAAGTCCGTTTTGATACTTTCCTCCTATTTAGCGCTTATTTATATATTATCGTATACGGGGTGGACCTATGGATCGTTTCATTACTATATTGTTGTTGTTGTTGTTCTTTTCCATGGTTTTCTTGTTCTTTATCATAGATTTTTTTTGTAAGGAAACATTGATTTCTCTTTGATTATTGGACCCATTGAAACTTTCAGGGGTTGTGTTTTTCGTTAGAAGTCTATTACTTTTATTTATTTAAAAATTTCTATGAGCTTTATGGGATTTGTTTTCGTGTGTGGCATGACGTCATCAAAACTTGCGCGGCGCTTGGCGGTTCCGCAAACGCATATCAGGGAATATCGTGCTTAGCGAAAGTGGGAAATTTTTAATTGGGAACCTGATCTGGTAATACAGAACTGACATAGATCAGTTGGTATTCCAGTTCATGTTGAAACTAAATAATGAAGAATGGAACATTGTTGTCTGTCAAGTCGTTTCGCTGAGATTTTGAGGCGATGAATATGTATTTTTGATAATAAATTTGGTATCTTCTTCAAATTTCGATAACAAACAAATATGAAATTTTTCTAGTAAACTTCACTAAACTAAACGCCTGGGGTTTATTATTATAAAAAATCTATAAAGTTGATCCGATAAGAGGGATCTAAAAAGACGAGCGAAAGATTTAACATAGACCAAAAATACCACACATATTCGTGGGCCAATCAGAGACTGTGTCATCAATTTCTCATATTAGTTGAAGATTGAAAAAAAGGTTCATTTTTTGCTGAAATTTCAATTACGTAGGTCGTAAACATCGCATTTTATTATAGTGGTTCTGAGGTTTCCTAATTCTGTAAAACCCATCAGGTATTGGAAATATTTAAAATAGTGATTGTGGTACGATAAACAAACAAGTATGACAAAATTTAATATACTTGATAAAATGAAGATTGATATTTTCTAATATCTAATTTTCTGATTTTTTCCACTGAGGGGATTTGCAGCGTCATGACGCTATGAACATAAAAGGTGTGAATTTTAACAAATCCCCTCAGTGGAAGAATAAAAATATTAGACATTAGAAAATATCAATCTACATTTTAGCAAATATCTTAAAATTTGTATGACATTCTGATAAAATATTATGAAAGCATATTTATCTTATCTCATAGGAGTATAGAAAGATCAACATGCGGAAGAATGAACTTAATTACTTCAATATACTGTTTATCTAGAAACAATAATAAAATCTGATGTTCACAAAGGACGCAATTAAATGTTCAGCGAAAAATCAACCTATTTTCTATCTTCAACTAAATATGAGAAATTGACACAGCCTCTGATTGGCCCACGAATATATGCTGTATTTTTCATCTATATTGAATCTTTCCTCCGTCTGTCTGGACCACTAATATTGAATCAACTTAATGGGTTTTATGATAATAAACGACAGTCGTTTAGTTGGATTGAGTTCGAGTTTACCAGAAGAAGTTGAAATATATTATTGTGCTATCGACATTTGAAGTAGTTATCAAGTTTATTTTGTATTTTGCTTTAACATTAGGTTTTCACGCATTTGGTTCATAATGTCTAGGTTTAAAATTTAAAGGACTTTGTTATGTAATATTATATTTATGTTTCAGAAAGTTTGTGTAAAAAAATATTGAACAATGAGAATAGTAATTGTTGTTGTCCTGATTGTTGAAGTCTGTGGAAACAGAAAGAAGAAAGAGGTTGATCTTGAAAAATTCCATGCAGCATTCGATCCTGAAGTATGTTAGTATGACGTATAAGTTTCGTACATATATGTATTCTCGTTCTACATTGCGTCAGACTAAAGTAGAGAATTCATTAAAACAATTATTCATATTTCACTCTCAAAAGAATAGCTCTAAAAACATCCATTGATCTATAGCATATTGAAATGCCATTTTTAGATCACTGTCTACTCTGCAAAAAAGCTTGTTTTTCCGAAAGAAACAGGACTTGATTTCAAAAACACTCCAGAATGCAGACATTTCAAGTAATTTGCTTTTATTTTTAAAAAATTATTACATTTTTTCACTGAACCGCAGACATTTTATTTTATTTCTGGGTATTGGTTAGCGATTCAAATAAAAATGTTCTTATTTTGGAAAGAAAGTATAGATCAGTAGACTATCATCAAAGTCTTCAGATTCAAACAACAACATATTTTTATGTATTGAACATATCATATGTTTATTGTAAAATTACAGTCCGACAATGAAAATAACAATTTTGTCCAGTTAATCTGATATACTAAGAAATCAATATGACGCTTTTTCCCAAGCGATAATGGAATGATTTCATGCACAGAAAATTCCCCAAACCGAAAGATTCATGTTCTGCCCCAAAAGGAATCTGCTACAGCGGTGACTTGGTTTCTGATTGCAAAGAAAGAAAATGTATTCAGAAATCTTTCTACGGTTCAACAAAATGCAGAAAAATAGTTCGATTATTCAAACCTTCCCCTCACGCTGCTGT